GAGAGAAAAGGGGAGAGCCTTGGATTTTATAGAGGGTTTTTCAGGGGGAAGTAAATAGATTCTTTTCAGACAACCAGGAGGGATGTGGAAAGTAAGTTCCCCTCTTGCATTCCATTCCTTTATCTCCCTAGGGAACAACTCAGGAGGGATAAGCACCTCCTTATCAGGAGGGATAAGAAAAGTAAGTTCCTCTCTCACATTCCATTCCTTTACCTCCCTAGGGAATAACCGGGAGGGATAAGCATCCTCCTTATCAGGAGAGATAAGGAAAGTAAGTTTCCCTTTTGCATTCCATTCCCTTATCTCCCTAGGGGTCTAGCAAAGGCTACCTGCCTAATACACCCCTAGGAAGGGGAGAGCAGTGGGTTTTATAGGAAGTTTGTATGGAACATTGGGGAGGGTGAATTCTTTATGCCTAACACTGTGAAATCCCAGAGCTTTGGGGGAGCTGCTCAAGGCTGCTCTGGGTACCCACACACAGGGTATAGAGGTATGGAAAACAGAACCCTCAGCATCTGCATTTGACCTATGGAAAGTTCTTGCTATATTCCCCTGAGCTGAGATGGTAGTGAAGCCTGCTCCTGCTACAGTTGTGCAAGACTGGGCTCCTTGAAGCACCAAAGCTGCCCTCCTGAAAGATTTCACCACTGGTGAGCCCCGGATGGCGCAGCCCTTTGCCTCTGCCCAAATTGTCTCTATTGTGATGCATCTTTGGGCCTTAACAACCCTCTTCCCCCATTTATCTCGGGTCTCATTGTAAATCAACTCTTTGTTTCAATTTCCTTATTTTGCCAACTGGAGACATTACTGCTATAAATGCTTACTCAGTTAAAGCACCAGACAAAGCTGGCCGAGTGGGGCGGTCTGCTTAGGGGGCCACAAAGTCTGTAGTGGAAATAATGGAGATGAACACATAGCCCGACGGGTTAAATGAAGGTTCTTGTAGGGATGTTTCTAAAGTGTGCAAAACAGTGACCAGAACAGCGTGAGCACTCAATGAATGTTACTGTTGTTGTTGTCATTATTATCTTAGTCCCATTAACAGTAGGCAGACCATGTCAAGGAGGGCTTCCAGTCTAGCAGATGCCCCTCTGGCTTTTTCACAAAGCTGTGGGTCCTGTTTTGGGCAGAGCTGCTCCATTTTTTTTTTTTTTATCTTTTTTTTACATTGGGCAGCTCAGTGATACTACGCCTGAAGAGAGGGTTCTGCTGAAAAATGTGGAAGCCGCTGTTCTGGAAAATCAACCAAGGCCGTGGGTTCCTCATCTTTCAGACTCAGAACTCACAGCCACCCCTGACCACTGCCCGTGGGTTCAGGCAAAGGTGGGAGTAGGCAGAGCTTGGCACTTGGGAGACACTCAAAAATGGTTTTTGAATGAATGAATAGACATGAACCCTGATATGCTCCAGAGAGTGTCTGGCCCGCTGGGTTCAAACCAGAAAGAAGCCAGAAAAGTGTCTTTCTGTCCCAAATATATGCAAGAGATGGAGAAGCCCTTTGCTTAGAAGTTACTAAACACTCTTTGGTAAGGGGGAGATGTTTGTTAATCAAACATCCAGTTTTTTTGATTAAACATTGATATTAATATGGTCCATGAGTTCAAAAGTCATCTTCAGATTAAAAGGTTCACTGAAACATGGCTGAGTTAGTTTATAGCTAACAGGAATATAGTTTTATACAATATAAATTTCTGATACTTTGGTTCTGCTTCAAAGGAAGTCTCAACCTAGACCATATGATGGGTAGAGATTGAAGGAAGAGGTACAGGGAACCCAACTAATTTTCAGGGCTCGGGGGAAGGATGGGATTTCGGGAAGAGGAACTGGAGGCAATGGCTTCATCCTAGTCATAACTAACAGAAGTGAGGGCAGAGGGAGGAAAAGGCACGCACCCAGACTCCAGCATCTAGGAAATAGGAAGAGGCAGTCGAGTTTGGATTGCCAAAGAAAGGATGGAGGGCAAAAAGTTGAAGAGTTTCATTGAGAGTCTATTTTCTTCTAATCAATCTTGCCCCCTTCCACATTCTTCATATTTTCTAGGCATCCCCAGAGCCATAAGAGAACCCTTTCTCTAGCCTTCTTGGGTGGCCTCAGCTCTCAACTGGCACTACAATCCCCAGCCATAATTTCAGACCTGTCACCATGTCAACATTCTTCAAAACATAAAAACCACTCCTTGCTCTCCCTCATTCACATGGAAAAGGCTCATTGATTAAATTAGTTAAAATATTCATCTGAAATCAGTGAGAATAGAAACTTTAAATATTTTGGTAATTATAAGGTAGGAAAGCAAGATGAATGGTTTCATCAATGATACCTTCAATCAAGAATTTTTAAACAATAAAGACTAAATTTGATGTATAATTTTAAAAAGAAAATATTTCTTGGGAAATGTGTTTCTAGATTAAGGTATAGTGGGCCCCTAAATAGCGACTCAACAATTTTTCTTAAAGTCCTCCCCCCAAGCCCAAACTACACTGTGGGTCGAAAAGGGCAGAATTAAGATAAATGGAAAGAAACTAGAGGTATTTTAATTCAATGAAAAGAATTCTGGAAAGAGTTCTTCATTACTGGAAATGTTTGAGCAGAGGTTTCCAGGGTGTTTCTGACGGCATTCAAGCATCAAAGACCAAGGTCAGCCTAAGAAACAAGCAAGGCTCCTTCCTACAAAGAGTAAAATTAGATAAGTATGTGAAATGCCTAGCACAGTGCCTGGCACATAATAGATACACAATAGATATTAATTCTTCCCATCATCAGAGTCCTTGAGTCTATGACCACATACAATGGATGTATTTCTAGAGGGGTAATTGGATACATTCTAGATTCTTCCAGAAGCTCACAATTTTCTTAACCAGGGCCATTGACAGAAGAAAGCAAGGGGAGGGAAGGAGGCATGTTCTCTTTGCAGTGTCAGTAGCTCTTCCTCTACGTGGCGTTGTCAGCCTCTTCAGGCAGTTAGTGGTTTGGGTCTTATGCTATCCACCACGGCTGAAATAACCGCTCCTGCAGCCTTCGCTCCTTCCGTCAGGGCATGTTCTACCGGCAAAGCACAAGAGTCCCAGGACAGTCAGTACCAGCCCCAGGCTTGCACGTTCCCCTACTTCCACCCCACCATTTCCATTCAGGAACTAGCCTGTTTGGAGTCTTTTCCTAAAAGAGGAAGCAGCCTGTGCCATCCTATGTTTCCAAAAATCCCGGAGTTGCAAGAGACCAACCGAAGCCAGGATTGCATCCTCTTCCTCCCTCAGAGCCATTCGGCCCAGGGTCTGCCTCCAGCATGGGGCTCAGAGGCAAAAGATCTCAGAGCAACACAGCCACTGAGGTTCTCATTCTACCAAAGGGGAATCTGAGAGCCAGCGTGGGTGACTCGCTTGGTCAGAGCCGCACGGTGAAGTGATGTCCAAGCTCAGCTCTGGGCTTGGGTCTCATGACTCCTGGACCCAGGCTTCTTCAGAGAGCTTCCTGAAATGCTCATGATCCTTGGGGTCACCTTTTTATGCACAAATGCTCATGGGATGGGAGATTCCTCACACCAGAGCCCACCAAGGCCCTGGCCCCAGAGCAAGGCCTCACAAGAATGGAATACAGGATAGGAGAGGATGCAAGAAAGTAAAGGGGTGGGGGCGAGGGGTGGGCAAAGGCCACCAGTGCCCACTGAGAGATGGGAGAACAAGAGTAGAGAGGCCAACTTTGGGATTTGAGCCCACTGTTCAGAGAATATAAGAAACATAGGGAAAACATAGAACAATTATGTTCTTCCTTGATTTTTTTTTCATCTATTCAAAAGGGGACAATAAACACTTCCACTGCTGATCTCATGGAGTTTTAGTAAGGATCACTTACTAACAAGAGCAGCCCAAACAGTTGCAGACACTTAGGCTTCAAAGCTCTTTCGCGTGTACTGTACCACATTTAATTTACCATTGCCCTGTGTGGCAGGGGGTCACAGAGCCACAGTGCAGCCCCACAGAGTGTCAGAGAACAGGAATGACAGCCCAGTGGCCTCATCAATTGGCTGTTCGAGAAAAGCTGAGAATCCAGATCTTTTATATAAAATTTCTCTATTTTCAAATGTTGACAAGTAATCACATAAAAAAAAATACAAATCCAAGATATGGCCCATAGGCTACTAGTTTGCAACCTCCACCTATCCCTGCTTTGTAAAGGAAGAAACAGTCTCAGAAATAAAGTGACTCAACCAAGGAGACCCCCGACTTAATAGCTGAGCTGGGGCTCCAACCTGGTGGTCTTACTATCAGCCCAGTTCCTTTTCTGTTCCTCCATGGGTTAACAGAGGTGAAAATACCTCCTGAACCCTAAAGTCCTGTAAAAATAGAAGGCACTACGAGTACAGCAAATAATATGACGACACCACTGATTGCCATTCTGGTCACTGAGATGACAAACTCCAAGAAAGCTCTAGGGGAAGCCACCATCAGGGCAAATGGGGACACACCTGCTGGCTCCTGGGCACGCCGTATCTGAGGTCATTGACGAAGTCCTCACAATTCCCTTCGATCAGGCTGTACTGCACGATCTTGTTGACCATCTGTTTCGTACGTTGCATGATCTTGTCCACAGGCAGGGGCAGGTACATCCCATCGAGCTTGTTGTTGATCTTCCAGGAGCAGCCATGCAGCACGTCCTCCAGGCAACTGTATTTCACAACAGCACAGTTGCTAAAAATAGAAGTGATACTGCCGACCCCAAATTCCTCACCTAGAGATCAAAGACAACAGTTGGAAAGTGCAAGGAGTAGCACCAGCTCAGTCTAAGACTTTGGGTAAGCCCCTTCCACTTCCATTGGGCCTTGTTCTCACCA